AACGATTGTTTTTGGAGGCTGAAATCCGACGCAGTTCATTTGCACAGATCGGTTGGCGGAGCAGAATGGATGTTTGCAATTTAGAGGCGACGTATATTGAGCTGATTCCTCTGTGATTGGCGCATAAGGTACGGACAGTCGTTTCTGAAGATCGCTACAAGGATGGAATCATTTTTCTCACCAAATCTTAGAGAACAGAGCTCTTATCTGGTTGACCCTTGCCCACCACCGTACGTGCGCAGCTCCGGAGGAACTCTGTGTGATCTAACAGCCTCGAATCGCCTCAAGTGATGAAGCTCAAGGTAGACCTATGTTTCTGTGGGTGATACTAATGAATGGATGATCCTAGTGAAACAGACGCTCTTCTAACCTGTCCTACTCTGACCAGTTAGTATCGCACCCAGCCTGGCACAGTATTAGTAGAGAATGCGCTGCGATGTAGACGGCTTACAAATGTGCAGAACACATGAACTCTCACAATGAGACGTAAAAGAACTGGTCATGATGCGATGTGCAGGTAGATGAGGGCAAAGGCGCTATTAGGCCAAATGAGGACTGGTGGTTTGCGCATAACAACGTTGTGACAAACCTTTGCTTCGGTGAGCCGAGCTTTCGATTCAGTGGATCGAGGTGCCTTTTGGGACTTTGTTCAAGAAAGCTGCGCCCTAGAAGTATATAAATATTATGGGAGCGCTACATGTGCTCAGTTCGAGTATATTGATGGCTTACGACAAACTGGCGCCGCCCTTCCATATCTCCAGCATCATCATACACGTTAGCTAGAGGTGGGTAACACTTCAGCTACTGTGCTATAATACACAGAAAAAAGGAGAAACAAATGCGACTAGTGCAAGTCGGCTGAACTACCGGTAACGGATAGGCATCGTTCCGGTAAGCTAACAGCCGGCTACTGTGCATCAAAAAAGTACTATGCAAGATTATATGAGGCTAAATAATGAGATCGTGATTGGAAGGGGAGGCTAAGAGGACTGGGGTGGGACAAAGAAACTCACAGCACAAACGCCACTGACGTCGGCTACTAGCCATATCAGCAAGTGTGTCCAACCAAACGTGTTCATCGTCTTTCGGACCCCAACCAGGGAGCCGAGACGCTCCAACCGAGGCCAGCTCAGAAGTGAGGGCCTTCATTCCTCTGGACCAAGTCATCGCTTGGCCACCCCTCCTCTTCTTCCATCCACACCCCCGGCGCGCAAACAACGCACGTCGAGGGAGTCGGTGGGTTTGCATGCGTAACACGTGGCCGAGCCATCGGAGCCTGATGCGTGAAATGACGGTGCTGAGCGGTTCATTTCCTTTTCCTGTGCCGTAAACAAGGCGTCGAACACGCTCGTTGCTCACGCGGTGTCCCCACCAAATGTGAGCTAAATTACGAAGGCACCGGTGGTCGAACGTAACTAGCCTCTTCAGGTCCGCTGCTTTAAGCGGCCAGGTTTCACAACCGTACAGTAGGGTCGAACGTACTGCTGCATTGTGCACTCTACCCTTCAGGGCAAGAGTGATGTCGCGCCGGCGCCATAAGTGGCGAAGGTTAGTAAAAACACCCCGAGCTTTTGCTATACGGTTCGTGATCTCATCCTCAATTCCACGGGCGCTGATACAACTTCCCAGGTAGTTGAATTTTTGAACGACTTCTAGCTGATCCCCACCAAGGGTCAACGAAGGAGGCGATCCAGACCAATCTTGGAGGAACACTTTGCACTTCGAGGGTGCGAAGCAAAGCCCGAAGTGACGGACAGTTAGTGTTAATCTGTCCACTGCCGCTTGACACGTTTGTGAGCTGTCACAGATTAGGGCAATATCATCAGCATACTCTAAGTCAAGAAGTCGTTCTCCAGGGAGCAGATCCACATCTTCAAAGTCGTGTCCTGTGAACGCGATTTCTATGACTTCGTCAACAGCGAAGTTGAAGAGGAAAGGTGACAGCGGGCATCCTTGTCTCACGCCGCTGGAGATATTGAAGGGCGACGACAACTTGCCGTATGTCCTCACTCTGCCCTCCCTCTGCGCATATAATGCTCGGATAATATTCGCATATTTCTCAGGTACACCTTTCCTGAGTAGACAGTCCCAAAGTGCATGTCTATCCACCGAACCGAATTCACCTTTGATATTGAGTAACACGACAACGGTGGCCGCCAATATATATGACGGTGTTCCAACAACTGACGCAAGGTGAAGATGTGATCAATGCAGCCACGACCTCGACGAAATCCGGCTGTATCTTCACGAATCTGGCTTTCACGAGTGCCAGTCAGTCTGTGAAGGATGACAGAGGCAAGCAATTTGGAGGCGATGGAGATCAGACTGATTTCTCTATGGCTGCCGCATTCCGATCGCGAGCCTCCCTTGAAAATTGGGACTATGACGGAGCGGCTCCAATCGGTTGGGACAGTTTCCTGCTCCCACAGTTTGACTAGTAACTCGTGTAAATCATCCATAAGAGCAGGTCCCTCGAATTTGAAGAGCGCTGGAGGAAGATCATCTGGTCCCGCGGCTTTATTTAACTTCAACAGTTCGATCTCACGTTCCACTTCTGAGCGAGAGGGTGGATCCAAAGGGACAGCCCAGGGAGCGGGGCGATCAGTGGCCGGCGAGAAATCTAACCATTCCGACCGATTAAATTGTCTTTTAAAGTGCTCAGCCCAACGCTCCAAGCGTTTTGACAAGTTGTGGATAGGCTGTCCACTCTCGTCACGTATAGTTTCACTAACACCAGGTCTCCTGCTGCCCGTTTCCCGTATCAGACGGAATAACTTCCGATGGTTACTCGCAACCGCGGCCATTTTCATCTCTGATGCACGATGAGACCACCAGGATTCGCGGTCTCTCTTCAGGCTAGCACGGAGTTTTGCCCGGAGCTCTTTGCGAGTTTCATTGTGTTCGCTTCCAGTCGGAATATGCCGGCGAGCACTATATCTCCAGCGGTGTGCGACAGAGTTTTCCGCTTTTCCCTTTCCCTCATTGCTTGGCAATTTACGAAATCATGGTAATTGCTTTCACTGGGAACGTTCTGCAAGGTGTGGAGCCACTACCAGGCGACCGACTTCTTGGGTTTAACTATGCCGACAACATTTCCTTATTCCTTTACCGTTTATTAGCGTGCCAAGCGGGATTGGTTTTGGCTTTGGACCCTCGAAATGCAAAGTTCTCCAACATTGGTGTGGACCCAACCTTCTGCTTACCCTTGGTGGTGATCAGCCAGACGTCATCCAGAATTTCAACTATCTAGGGAGCTATATTAGCACCTGTGGAATAGAAGAGATCACAAACCGCGGCACCGTAGCTGAGGTGTTTTCCACTTACAGATAGCATGTTTAATGGTGATACGTAGCAAAATCTCCAGGAGCGTTTGCCGACCTCCGCCATGCATGGCGCCGGCTGCACATCACTCCCCCTGAAGGGCAGAGTTTACAATGCAGCTGTCCGTTCAACCCTCCTGTACAGATACATAACCTGACCCACTAGGTCGAAATACATAAATATGGTTCTTACGTTAGATCATCGCTGCCCTCGCAGTTTTGTTCATGTTTGGTATGGATACCACGCGGACTGAGAGCGTGTTCGACCCTTTGTTTATCGCAAAGCAAGAGCGTGGACATATGACGACTAAATTGTATCTCGATTGACCGATAGAGCGATATTTGGAAAAGTACAGGATAAACTACACACACAGTAGACACGTAGAGAGAACACACTAATTAAACATCTGAAAGGTAAGTGATAAAATGCTGCTATGCACAGAGAATAATGCACGGAGCAAACTGAGCTCGAAAATTCGAATCGACGGATGCTATCCGTACTCATATTTTTGACTGTCGCAACTATTCCAAATACGAAACCTTGTTGTCGCGTTACTGCTGTGCATACTTGATCCGTAATTGTTACCCAGTTCACTTGGTCCTTCAGTCCTTAGAACATTTGTGCTGATATTTGGGACCTGCATTTTCCTACTCTATAAATCAGCGGGACCACCGCCGTTTACTACAATCTGGTAGCTATAACCTGCTGATAGTTATTGGCGTCCGAATCGAGTCTATCAACCCATTGATTTACTGCACTACACACCATATTAAGCGAGCTCTGTGAGTGTTAGGGCCGAATTTTACAGCTTCCATCATACATGCAACCGCATTGCTAAGTGGTTTGGATGTTGAGTTGCAGCTTGCGTAACATTGCTACTGGCTGTCCGTTAGTAGCATTTGTAACGACTTGTGTCCTAACTGATTTTGTCTTTACAACGGATACAGCGGCATTTCTGTGTAGTAAGACTTCTCTAGAAGCAACAGGCGGAATGTCAATCACGATAGCTTTCTTACGGTTTATGCGAAGATATTACTACTTGACTAGTCTGCTCTACTGGTTACCATCACTCACCGGTCACTTCCCGGTGGCTTCCGTTCTCTCAGCTTTTCTTACGCTTTTAAACTTGTGTTACATGATGTTGCACGAGGATTACAGCATTGCGTCCTGTTGCTTGAACGCCGCCTCCCTCGTGCTATCCACTCTTCTCACTTTTCGATTGCACCGGCATCATCAGTAATTGCACCACAGTCACTTCCCATCTCCATCGTCAATCATACTGTCATTCTGTTCTAATTGCTGCATTGTTTGTGTTTCCCACTGTGATCACTTAGTGTGCGCTTCAGTTTCACAATGTCCAATTTTTCAATTTTTTCTCCCCACATCACTGCTGGATGCTCGTTCGTATCACGATTACGGTGTCCTGCTATGTCTCCTCCTCCCATTTGGGTTACCACTGCTATCTTTTCTCTTCGCATGTACTTCACTGACGACAAAACCTGTCGCGAGAAAGTTTTCTTTTCTCATCTACACTGGTCCCGGTTTATCTATGCGCTATCACTTTAGTGTACACCTTTTCCCCTGGCAGTTCTTTGCGTGACCAAGGATTTCATCGTGCGCGAACATTGATTTTGGCTCCAACAAAAGCAGCCGCTCATCGCATCGTTCACACTATCCTTATGCTGATGCCGAAAGGATCCACTGTTAGTCACCGACGTCGTTTCGAAGTGGATTTCGGACCTCGACCTGGTGAAACGGATAAGGAAAAACGAAAGGGTCGTAAACCCGCGGACTATGAGGAATGGTTCAGCTGTGGGTCACATGGATTTCGCTCTACTTCGTATCCGTACATTTTTAACTGGATTTCCTTAGCTTCTATTTCTTAGGAATTTTCTATTACCTTCGGTGATAGGAGACCGATAGTAATTTCTTGGGGCGCGGTTCTGTAATCATGATTTACTATCAACTTTCGATTCTTAATAACTTGGTTCTGTGTGCCTTGTTCTCACTTCAATGTTTGCCGACCACGATTTACATTGCCTTCTATTCATATATCGTTGCATCCTTGTCGCAAACGGAGACATTTTAAGTCACTTTCTTCTTCTAATGTGATCTATAGGTTCACTGAACCCGAACTCGAAAACTTAGGGCATTCTAAATACTGCATCCTTCTCTTCAGCGGCGCTTCCTTCACTTTAAGGTTCGGTGTTTATCAGGTATGAGTTTTTCATTTGAGGATGCACCGATTCCGTGCTGAAGCATAGACGCGATCGATGCTTTAAAAGGAGGCGCTTTTTGATTTAAGAACTTAACGTTTAGTTACATACACACGAGATTTCTCCTGTATGTGAAAGCGACTGGTCACTAGTTGGTTACATCCACCCTCATCGTCATCAACTGGCATCTGGTTCAGTCGGTTGTTAGCACTTCAGCCCATGTTTGCGGGATATGCTCGCGAAAGCTAGCTGATCTGCAGCACCCAAACAGGTTATCCCGGTGCGGAACTGCTGTTTATCTAGGTACCACTGATTATTACCCAAAATTACATCAGTCGGAAACCATCCTCCATATGACTGCGTGCGTGATAATTCTAAAATCACTGTCTAGAACAGTCCAATCTATTCGACGTTGTTTCATAGATCACCCGGGTCTTTTCCAGGCCACTGTTACACCTCCGTCAATTTTGAAGGTTTTACTGCGATCTTTCCTCCTCGTTAGGAGGTGGCTACGTGCTTATGGATGATTTAGCCACTGCCCAACGATCTATGGTGCACTACAGAAGTACCTGACACTTATTGACCATCATCGCGTTTAAAATGAGCTAAACTATAGTTTGTGAGGGTAGTCGAATCATTAGATCACATTGCTTTCGGGCTGCGACCGATGACTGGATCTTCAGAAGCTGAGGTCAGAACAAACAAGGTTGGATTCCTCCGTTGTGGGGAATGTACCGAATATCTACTCTCACTTCTAATTAACCCGAATAACCCTGCGCGCATGCACAAATTTCTGTGGTCGTTTTCTTGATTCTGTTGACCGAACCTGTTTGCCACGTTGTCCTTCTTGATAAGGCGTGTCAATGAAAGTTCGTTCTATTTCCACGTCCACGTATTTCGACTTCCGGTTCCTCGTAATGGTCTACGAGAAGTTGTTCATTGTGTTGTCCTCCTTGTATTTCTTCATCATGGTTATAATCAGTGTCTTCACGGTTGGTACTAGCCCTCTTCTTCCGGATGCGAATCACTGTTAGCTGTCCTATTGTTAAGTGTATGACACATGGACTGTGCATAGCTCTCTTCATATTCGACCTGACTGTTATGCAAGCACCGATGAATAGGTGGCCGCACTCTCCGAGGCACCACTTCATACTTCTTATGTATCACCTGTTCCCGAAAGCATCAGTCTACCAATTCGAATGACTGCTTTGTCTGCCTATCTAGGTAATTGCATCACTGGCGGTCGCTTTACAGAGAACGTTGAATCTATCGTTAGTACTTCTTGTGACACTTTTCAAAACACCATTGACCTTCGGAGGCGGCCGGATATCAGCGTATCAGTCAGGAACTGGGTTGTCATCGACACAACGCCGCCAGTGTTACCGCATGAACCAAGGGCTACCGTTGCGATAAAAACATTGGACAATTGGTCGCGTTTGATCATTAATGCTCGCGAGATGTCATGTCCTAAGGGATAACCGAACGAGCGCATCTGACCTCCATCACTTAGCATTTGGCCACAAATCCTCTGGTGTCACAACGGAGTATCAGTTACATTCATACCGCAACTCACACCCCACTATGTCCTTCGCGCGCACCTTGTTGGGTGAAACTGCGGGGTCGTCAGTTGATGACGCGGCAAAGGGGCATGACTAGACTCACCGAAGCGCTGAGCCAGATTGGTGTCTGTCGTCCTACTGGGTGAAAGTCTCGGAATTGATCACATCAGTGATTCGAAACCCCACCGGATACGACGCGGTTGCTAAGCCGTTGGCACTACTGCATTCCTTCCCTTATTTTAACAAATGTTCTAATACTTAATTATTGTCGATTTCCCTCCGGCTATTATCATTATTGTTGTTAGACTTCACGAATCAGACCAGCTCGTCAACAACTCCGTCCCTCATTTTTAGTCCTTTCTTCTACCCAACGATTTAAATCCAACCTGTGTGCAAGTCTTCTTGAATCCCATGACGTACAGCACTGTGCACATCCGTAGGTGCAACGCAACGTTCTGCTCTAGCGTGCTACTTTTTGTCCGAACTAGGCCACTAACGGTTGTCACTATCATCGAAGAGCCATTTACAGCGATCTTTGGGTTCATTTACCTCGGTAACGGTCTCCACTTACTGCTAGACCACCGCTAAGCTCATCGGTAAGGCTGATGTTTTTTCTTCCAAGCATCGCACTTTTATGGAGATTGGAGATGTTCTCCTAACCGATGACCGGATGTACAACGCTGCAGTGTTATTGTCTAATTCATCAGACTAGGCTGTGTGCTTTGAAGGCATAAAGTGTACTTGTTTTTTGGATTACCGACGCCTGTGCCGTCTTTCTTGTCTAGTGAATACACGTTGTGATGGATGGCGAAATCGTGCCGCTGGTCTCTCACTAACTCATTCGTTTGACTCGGAAGGCAACTTGTATTTACCTGCGGACCTCCTACTTTGGTATTTATTACTTGTCAATCATGCCTATTCGAAATAAATCCCAGTGCAGTAAGTCGCCGGCGCTGCAAATCACATAAACAAATTAAACTTAGTACTCTCTCGGATTCTAACTTACTGCGACACATCATTGGTTGTCGACACTTGTCTTTACTGGAGTTAGCGAATCTCTTGTGCTCCGCCTCGCTTATCGGAGGCAGTCGATACTATCAACTCGCGTGAGTAACCAATCGTTCATTCATTCTATAGATGAATGATCACCGTAATTGCTCCGGTTTATGGAGCTGTTAGCTTCACTTTCGCATCATAGCCTCACTGCTAAACAAACATAGCATACCTATGAGCGAGTTTCGTAATGCATCTTGGAAGGGTTGACGATAACTTCCTTTCATGGTAATTGCAGCATCGTGGCATGTGTGTTGAGGATCGACTAAGAATAATCAACCCAGTTCAAATGCGTTTCCGACTCAGTTCACTGTTATGAACATTCGGGCACTTGCGTAAGATAACGTCCCCTTACTTTACAAAGATGTTCTGCACGCCATGTCTGACAATCGAGGTAACTATTTTCTTGTTTCCTTGTGGCAGACGATGCTCATCAGGTCTCCCTAGTTGCTTTACTTACTTAACCACATCTCAGCTATGGACTGTTCTTTTTGGATGTCTGACATGGATGTGAACATTGAAGCCATGCCCAAATAGGGAACGGGTTTTAACTGCTTACACACAATTAAGAGGCGGCAGCTCTCGTGCTGCGTTCCATTTTATTGCAAGGCAAGCTGACGTCATCGATATCGCTTCAAGGCTTCAATTTGGAGTAAACTGGATGGAGGACGGAGCGAATCCTATCGATTTTTGTCGTCATCGACTCTGCGTATGTGTATTAGGTCGCCTGGGACGCCATGGGAGCAGTGTATATTATATTTTCTTACGTCCGTGGTAACGTTTTATTCGATTTGAGGATTAATGCTTCATTTATGAGTATTCTGCTACCATCTTATCTGACCGTATGCCGAAACACGAAATGATAAGGAATGTTTAGTGCTATCAGGTGGAGTTACTGGAGCTAGTTACAGTAAGAGATAATATCTGTGGTACAGCTTCGGTTAATAATGTATATGCACCAACATTGGATGGCTAAGTCTTCATTTTCCATGCGCTAACCCCTAGTGAGATCAGATAGAATTCCTCTAGAAATTCAACACCTAGTCAGATTTATCACCGTCTGTGGGATAAAAGATGAAGTCACAAGTTGTATAGCAAAAGCTCGATGTGCTTTTGCCTATCTTCACCTCTTGACTCCCCGGTTGAGTTCCAAAGGACGATTAACACTTTTGGTTATTGGCGCAGCGAATAATTGACCTTAATGTCCTTTTCGTTGTGAGTTTCTTGGTCCCCGCCCCATGCTGGTTGGCCTCTCGTCCAACATAGATATCGGCATCAATGGGCCAAACCATCATTGTAAGCTCTGGACTTGAGTGACGCATAAAACTTCTGGCTCATATCAAACCGGAGTCGTATTCAGATGCATGCCAATATTCGATGAGCATAATACCCGCTCAGTAAGGATGTAATCTAGTCTTCACACAATGAGAGTGCAAATCACCGCTCTTGTGTCTGTGTGGACCTCTCGCGAAAGCCAGAGTCGGAAAGTGGAATCACGCCGGTGCATATATCGGGTTGAGAAACCCTATGTAATGATGTGGCCGTTATGCAACGCATAAGGAGCGACAATTCTTTAAATTTACCTCTGACTTTAGTGGGCGATGTGTCACGCTGCGGCCGTGTACAAAGGCGTGAAGGAACAGGCAGGCAGGTGTGACCGATAGAGTAGTTTGCGCGGATAGATGGATGGAGTGAGGTGCGCAAATGGGGAACAAACTGATGTGACAGGTTCTGCTAGGCGGCAGTGACTATAAAGGGACGCAGGGGGTTTGTGTAAGCAGGTTGAAAGCTGAAGTTTTGCATATGACGCGCACGTCAGTTCTTTTGATCTAGGAAAATATTCAACTATCCGACTATCGACTTGTCTGGTGATCTTACTGTTTACAATAATAATCGTTTAGTTTTTTTCTTTTTTACTGTCACCTGAATTACATTGCGGCACAATAACCGGACTTTTTCTCACTAACTAATGTGTTGACTAATCGTCGTCAAAACTAACGGGTGACATACTGTGATGGTCTACCAAACCTTTTTCATTATTACTGCCCTTTTTCTGGTCTGTGTTTGTTTACCTAATCCGTTATCTAGCCGATGTAAGCACATTAGTTACTGATATGCTCCTAATTCGCTTGTGGATTTCAACGCTCCTTTGACTTTCGAGGTTCCGGCATACATCCATCGTGTCCTCTCTAACCTGTCATTTTGACATGTGGTTCTTTTAAACCTATCTTTTTACCTTCATTAACCGTGATGTTTTGTACATTTCTGTCATTCATATTGTGTCTGACGGTGTAGGTAACGTCTGCGACCATTTTCGGATTGGAATTTCTTTCTCGAAAAAGTCTGTGAAGCTTTATTCCGCCTTCAGTGATGCGGACGTTATACTGGCTTCTCCTCTGGGACTGCAAACGATCATTGACAACGAAAAGTACGTTTCTGTTTGAACTTTTTTTCTTATATCCTATTTGTGTTGGAGTAGAGGCTTTGTCAAAACTCTGGTCAGTGCACAATGCACCTTATTGCCACATGTCACTCTACCGGCTGTGGAATGTCCGTGAGCATCACCACCTCAGCGCACCATAGTAACGGCGTTTTGAAACTGTCGTTCCTTTTAAACTGGTATCACATTTAGGTGCTTATTTCTGGGTCCGGCACACATGCTTTGATATTTTCGATGTGGGATTTCAACACAATGTTAAACACTGCAAGTAACTCAAATTTATTTCGCCTATCTCTGTGTGCTACTAATTCCTCAAACCGAATACGGCGGTATTATTTCCAACTCTTTTTTATTTATCTTTATTCTGCATCACATAGTATTTCGTTTCCTCAGACATTTTCTTTAACTAATTAACGATTTTTTTCTTTCATTGCAGAGAGAAGGAGGCCGACGTGCAATACATTACTGCATCTATCGAGCTTTTGATTATCGATCAGGCGGAAATGTTGCTCATGCAAAATTGGTCTAACGTACAGCGAATAGTGTCCTTGCTGAATCAGCGTCCCACCAACGCTGCATTTGCTTCATCCACCCGTATCCGGTTGGCGTACCTTGCTGGTTATGGACGCCGATATAGACAAACTTTGATCTTTTCGGCCGTGGAGGCTCCTCAAATTACTCTCTTGACTGGGGAATGCGATAGTTAGTGCTCATTTTCTACAGCTCTGTATTTTTCACTCCCGTGCTTCTGCTTGCTGCTCATATAGTTTTAAATTCCGACCTACTCGACCACGAGATCTAAGCTCATCTTCTCATTAATCTATCATTCTTCCTGAAGTACTATGCACAATTATGTCACCCACTTATGTATAGCAAAATCACTTTACTAATAAAATCGGTTTTCTGTCCCTTATTGATTCTTAGGAAGTTGGCCATTGCGCTTTTAACGCATTCACCTCGAATCATAATTACATTCCACACCAGTACCTATATGTTGACATGTCAACCAATTATAGCGACTCTATAAATGAAGAATCGCTTATTATTATTATTATTATTACGTGGGTCTAATGTGACATCTGCGAAAGTTTATAAACAGGACCACAAACAGCTGGTTTTTGCATGAGGGTCAGGTTGCCAATGGGGGGGGGGGCAGCTTTATTGTCCCTCGTCACATTCAGCCTTACCCCCACAGATAACCAGACGCCATGTACATTTTAACCAGATAGTGAACTATTGCTGTCAACAAACACGCCACTTTTACTTGGATTGCGTGATATTTTACCTATGATCTCTAACCAAATGCACGGCGGAACCACTTGACTTTGGTGTGGAAGGCGGATCGGAGCAGCAGCACTTCGTCTAGTGGTTGGCGATTTCACTTCCAGCTGCCAGCTCACTGGCTACCTCTTCCTCGAGCCCTATGTCCAGTACACGAAACATCTCCTCCAGACTAGTGGCAATTGATCATACGCAACACGTGCAGAAACCTTAGCAACTTGTTATTTCAACTACCTGATGACACTATCATCATCTAGTACCAAGCTGAGAACACCATCGTTACGAACATCCAGATGCCAACTGACAATATCAATGCAGCACAGGCAGCGATGGACGGTGATTTGAATGTACCCATGGCCCCCATACCGAAAGTGCCACTCTCAACCTCGGCAGAGGAGAACATCCCTCTTGTGGTCCTATGTACATAATTTTCAATGTAAAAGAGATTCCCTTTCTGGTGACAGTAGTATTGTATACATAGTATATATTTTTTCTCACCTTACACACATCTGCTACCGCTGATGCATCTACCAAGATTGATGAATTGGTCATCTCTATCTATTTTCCTGTTGTTATGGCCTAGAAGACGGACAATTAACTGGTGGTTGTGTAAAGTACATGCTATTCATGGGACGACCGAAAAACAGGACGTTTACATTCGTGGATTTCATGGACGCTCCGCCCCACTCAACATAGATTTTATTTCACCGAAAAACGATGTCTTCACAGTTACTGGGCAGTGGTTTTATATGCGGTGCACTCTGGTAACTTTGCCTACTCGTGGACTGAGTCTGCATTTAAGGAAATCGTTTTCTGTGCCCGCTGTCAAATATCGAGAAAAATCGTCAACAGACTACAATACGCTCGAGTTAGAGGCACTCGTTCAATGACGAATGACGGTCATGAATAAAACGTGCCACCTAGACTTCATTGCGATGTCGGTGATGTGTCAGCTTCAATCCTTCCTAAACGTAGTGCAGCGTAAGCGCAGCCGATGATCGACGCTTAGTGGTAACAAATACTTTCGAAATTAAGTCCAAACCTTTCACTCGGCTGACTTTCTGAGGATGATCCACATACTCATTCATTATTTCAGCAGCAGGAATTTGTCTGAGCTTGTTGCCTAGTGTAAACACTAGATGAGAGCCTCTGTGGGTTCGAGCCTGCGTAGGCGCAGGGCGACCGCAGTATTCTTAGCCCACGTGCGGCTGCTGATGGTTGCACGGCGGCAAAGCGTCGGTACTGCGTATCGGCGTGATGCTGAGCCTTCTTTTTCTTTGGTGGCGTAAATGTTGAAGCCTGTTGCACCACAGTCGGCAGTCGCGAACAAGCTGTACTTACATTTATTCCCATTCTCTACTTCTCCGTTTTTTATTACTTTTATTACTTTTAAATGAACTCCCTAAAACTCCTTTGGAGACTACTTTGTAAGGCTCGAAAAAATTTCTCTACTCTTTGCGATACATCACAGCTAGGTGAAGCCAGACAGCCATGACACATATAGGAATGCACCAAACGGTCGTTTCGTCTTATTTGGACTCGTCAGTAGCGCGCGCCCGCGGAATCCTCTCTGATTCGAACACATGACCTTAGGAGTTGGCGACTAATGCCACTAAGCGATGGAGGACGACAGCAGAATGCCACAACTGCAGTATCTCACGGCTCATCCCCCACTGCCATGTATGTTATGAACTTGTAGAGGTCCCCCCAGAGCTTCGACTTCCTTTGCAAGCCGCCACCAATCGACATGGCATGTAAGCCGCCAACGCGATTACTAATGGCGGTCTGGCACCGTCACCCATGACTTAGTGGCATTAGTCGCTGTCTTGTAAGAGCAAAGTCATGGGTTCAAATCCGGCGGATACGCCCTGTAGCGCTTTCCTGGATGTGTGATGGCTGTCTGGCTGAATCTAGCCGCGTCGAATCTTGGCAAAAAACAATAACCTCCCTATTACCTACTAGCTTTCTCTGCTATCCGCTTATGTTGTACTGAATGTTCAGACCACGTAGTTGATTTGTGTCTCACTGCTAAGAAATTTGCCATTCATTTATTTAATCAACGCTTATCTTTGCTCTATGCGTTAACTCGACACGAATGGATTTCACATTGGTCTTACATCGACGACTATTTAGAGGAATCAAGTCGACAAATAAGTGCTCATCCGTGGAACTTTGAATGATGGCCACGTCAGCTCAATGTGCGGTCGCTGCATCACCATTTCCGAGCGCATGCAACCAGTGGCGCGAATACAATCTAGGTGCAATCAATTCCGACTGTATGCCGCATCAGCCCCAGAGCTGTTCAATCTACCTTCAGGTGTCGTCCTGTCTTTTGGTATCAAACTTGCGCGTGGCCAAAAATACCCACTAGGATGGTCTGCTAGGGTGTTGATTGCAAAATACTTTTGGAAACTTTGACGCAATCCATGCGAATGGCTTAACTTTAGTAGGACTGCATTTGTTACCGCTTACACTGATAACGGAGATAATAATGCTAGTCGGGATGAGTGCAAAATGAGCCGTTTCAGTAGCTCGAAGAGACGTACCAGCAATAGTCTGTTTTTGCATCTCTGCCTTTTCATATGCATCAGTAACTACGTGACGATCGGTAGTGGATTAGGGTGCCATTTGATGAAAATGTTGCCGTTCCCCACAGTATCGGATGGCGACCAAAGCTATATAATTTTGCCCCTGTTTTTGTCGTTTGAATACAACGAATTCATCAACGTGTGGAGCTTTCCAATCTGTCAAGGTGATCGCATCTTGCTTACCACGGTCTCCACTCAGGCTGTATGTCGTAGTCCAAATACAAATAAACACTCCGAAAATTTGTTTATTCATTATATGTGACCACTAGCCAACGCGTATATCTCATTTTCTCAGATTTCCAGGGTCTTAACTTCTTCCCTTCCGTGCCGCGTTTCGAGGACATTTCCCCTTCTCATTTCGGGGACGTTACCCACCCACCTGAGGCAAAACGTGCTCGTCTTTTTGCCCGCGGAGCTTACAAGACAGCTGACCAGTTTACCGGAAGCCTAACCAAGTTGCGCGGAGCATCCAATGTCAGCGTGAATCTGATTCCCTTTGCTGTCTCTGGTCAGGCTTTGTCCACGCTTGAACATCTTTGCGATGTGGGTGATTCAGTAGATGTTGATGTCAGTACTGAGGCAGACTGTATGGCTGCGTCAAAAAATGATGAACTTTCCACCCGTCTGGTTTGTCTACACCAGACCTCAACATCCGTGGATCGAATCAGTGACACTGATCTCTCCTACATGGGTGAGTTGTTCCCGCTTTGTTTTGAACTTCCATATGTGTAACACTTTATTTAAGGTGCTTTACTGTCCTGAGGGATGCTTCACTTCTCACACCTTGCTCGTGGTTCACTGACTTTTTTCTTGAGGCAACTTTATGCACACCTTTTGACCTCGTGTGATGCCGTCACGGGGCTAATAAATGACTGTAACTATCCCCACAACTGACCTAGGTCACTTTTAGTGGTATATTTCTGCTTTTGCATGACGGTTGCACAGCATCAAATTTTCTGTTTAGTGAACTACTACAACTAGGCAGATCAACCGGTGATTCTACAACCTACTCACGAATAGATGATGCACCCTACGAGGCCGGGTAGTGATTCAGATACGCAAACGCAATCCAACCCCCTTTGAGCATCTATTCCTGGAATTGTGGTGTAATACTACGAAGCACTTATGTAAATACTCAAACTGTAACTTGGCGTTTATTAAGAAGAGGTTAGGAATTGAAAAACTAAACGGACTTCTGAGCCTCTCATTCGGTGCTATAGCCGGATGCCTGGACCCAAGCAAGAAATTGTTGATCCTAACGATTTACTCATTGATTGCCAGTAGTCGAGTAAATCAAGCACATACTCTATGTACCCACAAGGCGTGAGTAATTAGCCGTGACATGCAAAGGCATACATGAATGACAAATGAAGCAAGTTTTACCAACGGAGAAGTATTACACATCGGTTATTTTACAACTATGGTCGGGCTGATATAGCTGAAGTGGTTTTGTCGTCCAGTTCATGATTGATAATATTTTTATCCGTCAGAAAACGTGCCTAATAAGAGACGATGGAGCTAACGTAGGCAGATGTGCCTGGATATACATAAACAACTTGCATATTCTCGTTTTCGGCGCAACACACATGATCAGGTAATCAACAGCATGTTCTAACGGAATTACCATGAATGATCGAAAGTATACAAAAACGTCTCAAGTTTACAAGTGACATAATGTATGCATATATATAGGTGTGCCTCATGTGCTGAGGTTGAAGTTGAGTTGACCTACACCGACTTCCTCTGAAACGAGATCTTCTTCCTCTGGATGAAAAGTATTCCACTTTATTTGACTTGATCAGTTCTGTTATTCTGTTGTATATTCCATGTCCATTTTGCGTGTTTATTTTCCTTCAGATTCTGTGTTGGTTTTTGCTATCCCCTGTGTGACTGCGCTTGATATGAGTGTTGACAAGGTACCTACCTGTCTAACACCCCCCACCTCGATTACTGGCACTAGGATACAGTTGTATCTTGCTGGTGAAGACGGATTACACGGTCTTCGTGGCCTTGATCGGCTCAAACAGTGGTTCCAACCAATGTGGAGCGGACTACTCTCCACCCACCGCCTTGTGTGCACTTGATTCCCCAAATACGGCGTGATTGTGTTTGCCTGTGAAGGAGTGTGGGCCGGATCCGTTGATGAAACGTGGCTCCCATCCACATGCCTCCCTGTCTTATTTCTTCGCGTTTACACTGGATATGAGGTGTATGGATGGAACTGTGGGTGGTGCAGCGCAAGCCACCTATGGTACCTCTGTAAGCGTAGGCATGCTGTGGCTGGCCACAGTGACAGGCAAATCCGAAACTGGATGCCGCCAACCATATATGTTGCCCCATGCTGGGGTTAATGTTGTATTCTTGATGCTTCTTCACTGCAGTTTGGCTATGCCAACTTACACTTAAACTAGGTCTTTTTAAGCTGGATACGTTTCATTCCACTTTATTCGGTTTGTTCTGCCTACCTGATTAATCTCCTATTAACAGGCCACGTTGCCTACGCTGATTGCGCATATCTTCGATAACTTTTTGCGTTTGTAGCATTTTTAAATAACTTGTGGACACTTTTCCTTATCGCGGATTCCTTGCTAACCAAATTACTTCAAATGCTAGTTTATCGGAGAGTTATGCCACAGTATCTGTATGCATTATTTGATTTACTTTATTTCATCTTGTCGTTTCAAGTGCTTGACTGTTGCTTGATATCCGCGGTGTGGCTGCGCTTGGTGTGCATGTTGACAACGTGCCTACCTGTCTATTACCCACTACCTCGTTCATACTGGCTCCTATATATATATATATATATTTTGCAAAAGTCTGCTGACAGACATAATGCCATCAGAAACCATGGGATTCAAATGAAGGTACAGAAACAGTAAAATAAAAAACAACACAACAATGTCCATGGTTTCCTCAGAGGGCGAAATACTACCCGGTTGCCCAAGCCGAAGTAGGGTGTTGACTTAGGGAACACCACCCCGAGCCTTTGGCTGAATAGCCTGTCCGCAAGGCAGCGGAGCGAATTCAGGGAATCGCGCCCATTGGGAGCCGGTGACTGATTGATCAGTTCATACGCCTTTCGTTTGTTCCTTTGCCAAACAGGGGCCCAATACTCCCCGAAATTACAGCATTAACTTGCTGGAATACAATGCTTCGCCAGGATGAAGCAAGGGGCAGTGACTTTATTTAGTGGCGAGTCACGTCCGCCACGTCACAGTGTTGTTAAACGGACATATGTGGCTTTTTATAGGGAGAACGCTTGCCAGGCGAAAACCCACCACGTCCTGGAACACTGCCGCCGAACCATTTGCTGGAACGGGAAAATCCCGAACCACCCAGCTGGCACCACGAGGAGGTTGTTCGGCAAGCCAGCCTGGCTCCAGGAGACAGTTGGTCGTTGCTGGAGGGCACGGGGTGCACGGTTCTTGTGGTCGTGCTAGGCTCGAAGAGCGGTTCCATGCATTCAGTGTGGAGCGGACTACGGTCCAGCTACCGCCTTGTGTACACTTGATTTTCCAAATATAACGTGCTTGTGTTTGCCTGTGAAGGAGTGTGGGCCGGCTCCGTTGATGAAACGTGGCTCCTATCCACATACCTTCCGGTCTTATTTCTTCGGGTTTTCACTGGATTTGGGGTGTGTGGTTGGAGCTGTAAGTGGTGCAGCGTCTTGTGTATGTGGTGGCTAACGTCAGTGAGCGCTTTGGGTACTGCTGCAATTAACATGTTTTACTACAATGATTCTAACATGTTCCGGCTTTAGGTTTCGGCGTCTTCGCAATAATTGTTTTGGTGATGTGACCATTACTTCGAGATTCTAGCTTTAAAGGCTAGCGAAAATCACGGAAAACATGTGGTCAGGTGGGGGACCACAGATACAGTGATAAACCGTAGAATCAGACATTGGGGCAGAAAGCAACTGATACGCGTTACGTAAAACGTGAATCTCCCGCTTATCGGGAATTTTCTGTTTACATGAAAGGACCACGTGAGATCGCGCGCACTATGCTTCCCAAATATCTCACTGATATGGGGTGTTCAGATCTTTGCTAACGACGGGACTTTCTTTACTGTTCATGGCGACTTTAAAACATTTTGCATCTCGAGGCCTCCAGCGACAAGCAACATAATTTTGGCTAATATGTGACATTATCCAGTAGGATTTTGCAGTCTGGGTAATGGTTCTGCGGTTGCATGGTGGACACGTAAGAGTACGTCATCTGCATGCTGCGGAAAAATTGCTTCTTCCTGGACGGGAATTGAGGTAACGTACTTGCAAAATGTGTGCGAAACAATATGGTTCCTTGAGTTACACTAGAGTAAGTGGTGAATTACGAGGACTTTTCCTCGTTAACCTGACGTTTAGTACAATAATCCATCAGAATAACATAATTACAGTAAGCTGAACTTTTGGTCATGAAACAGCAGTTCACAGAAACAAAAGCATTACTTTAGCCAAGCAGGCAGATACGCGTGGATTTGTTTCTATTTCCCAATGATCAACACAGAATGTACAAGGTTGATTACGACTTCCAAAGTGGACTTTAAAAGACGGTATGCGAACTGTCTGCTCCGAAATCTTTCTAAGGATATTCCTTTCAATGCTCTTCAAAGCCACTGAGGTGCAAACAACTGTTGGTATTTATATGTTCTTTTCGTCAGCACCGGCGCGGTGCTAGCGGTCAGCTACTTTTTGTTGCTTTAACCACAGTGTACATTTTAGCGAATGGTTACGTCAAGGAATCGGGGCAATCCTTCTGCAGGCCTTGCGCTTTACTCCGTAGTAGTTGGATTTATTCTCTGCACTACTTATTATCTACAGTAGTTGATGTCGTTATAACTGATCGGATCAGTCAAAGGTTAAATGAGCCTTCTGGCCACAGAAATTGAGGTCCGATTATTCCACTCCCATAAGATTGCTTTAGCAACTTCCATATTCTTCGGTAATTATTGTCTCTCGATATGGTTTGGACGCACATGTACTTGAGGCGATGCAGTTCACTTTTTATATCAGTTGACTAAGACTCTGCTAAAGCAATGCATTAAGTCTGCACAACTGTTCAAGGTGTTGGAACGATTAGCTATCTACAGGAGCAAAGATTGTTTCAATTTGATGGCAGAACTCGAACTGGAAGTTTGGCTAACTAGTTTACTAGTCACAATTTATCGCTACCTTCTGTGGGCGTTATATTGAACATTATCTGTGGTACCGATATTGTGTCGTGGGAATCATGTCGGAATTTGAAAATGGGGTTGGAATAATAACAATAAAAACAAGCAACTTATTTTGTCCAGTTTTGCACTCAATGTTTGCGTACTTTTTATTTTTGTGGGGGTTGGGAAGTCCCCGCAACACGCTGAGACACACATCTGCCACTGAATTCGATTTTGGTTTCTTCAGCTAGCACCTTTGGGACCCCGATTAGAAGTAGAGAACAACCACCCCTAGGCCAACTGTTTTCTTAGCTTTATACTGTTTCTCCAAGTTAAACGCTTGGCTTCTATATTTTACCACTGTTGCCCAATCTACAGAAGGAGGCATTTTCTCCGCCGGGATTTGCGATCTTTGCAACCGGTGACATTTTAGAGGTTCGTCTTATTACAACTAACAGAGCTTCTAAGCGGTGTCCGATTACAGACAGATAACATTTTCAGGTTGTTGAAAACTCTTCTGCTTACGGTTCCTTCTAGCCTGGTTGGATGATGGACGGGGTTCTTTTACCACCGGTTTATAATGATGGGATTGTCTAACTTTCTTAAATGGCCCACGAATGGTTAATAGGGGTAGTCTAGACATTTAAGGACAGCAGATGTAAATTCACCGTCATATTCTTCAACATTAGAGCTGTGTACCTGGAGGGAACATAGGTGTTCGTCATTGAAATCGAACAATGTCTGTTCGAGTATCTTGGTGTATGCGTTTCGCGATCACATAGCTGGTGCGTTGCGAACTTCAGCGAAAAATGTTTTTGTCGACCTGTACCATGTAACATTGATGTAAGTAACGACGCAATCACCACATTTTCTGTATCCACATGAGCGGTCAATACGATAAGTAACAATCCCATCGAGTGTCACAACTGCAGTGCTTACGTGAAACCATTTTTCCTGTAGGATAATGGCACCTAATCGAAAATACTCATGACGACTATTTACAATTTAGCGTTTTCCCACATTACCCAAAAGCAACCAGATATTGACGAGTATGCTTATAATTCCACGTTTTCTCTTTTGAAGTTCAACCCCTTTGTAGAGTTCCTACACTTTCATTTACTTCTTTTTATTTTGTTTACCATACATTGACGAGAGAAGACCGATATTTTTGTATGCGCGAAAACACTCAACGATTTTAAAATGTCACATGTATACATGAGCACGTCTCCACTTGCATAACGCGTGAAAACAAAAGAGGGCTGATGTACTGGAGAAAAACGTGTACGTTGATGAATCCGTTAGGCAATACTTATTGAGCGCAGCTTGGTTTGTAGGCCTCCCGCTTGTTTCGCTTCACTTTCCCACCATTTAATCGTCGCCTCTAAACTGAACTCATTTTTCACTTTTTTCTACATCCGCGTTTACATTTCAGCTGGCCGATCCGTGCCCATAGCACGAATGGACACCTTTAAGGCGAGAGTGCTTCCTAGACTACGCCGTGGAACTGACCAGCGTGTTCTCATTTACGTGCCTGACTTTTACGATCTGGAGGAACTGCGCTTCGTGTTATCCAGCGAATCTTTGGACTTTTGCTGTGTGCACGAGTACGTTTGAAAACTTAATTATGCATTTTTTAGCCGTTTATCACTTCCTTTACACCACAGCTCATTTCCATGTGCTTAGATTTTGTCTTACACGCTCATCGTCTTGATTCATCTCGTTTATATTTCTCTCCATTATATCCATCATCTTTTCATTAAATTTTCGCTTCCTTGCTGTCCACTTCAACTCAATTGGTTGGTGCGCCATTTTGTGCTTTTGGCTACCTGAGTGGTTGGTTGCTTCAAGGTGAGCAGTCGCCTACGCTGAGATTGCGCATCGCAATCCACTCGCACGACGAGTTTTCCATTTTCAGTGACGACGGTCGTAATTTCCTTCTCTATCGCAATGTCGTCTCGGTTGTTTTTTTTTACCATATTCGCTTGTTACCATATGCTCCTCTCACATAGACAACGTTCAACTGCAAATCACCTTTATGTGCGCTGAAATTTCATCAATGTGGGTCCATATCTGTGCAGTACACGCACAAACTACATCCTTCTGTCTTCTGGACAACTCTGAAATCGTCCGATTATTTGCACAGCCAAGGGTCTGCGTAACCACAATAGCTACTCACCTCATAACTACTACTGTAACATTTTGAGGTCTAGATTCACTCGGACAGCCTTTAGCTCCCATTGCCCTTCTGCAGCGTCATCGGATCTGTTACCGCGATTTCGCTACTTGCGGCGATGGGATGTAATGTTCCCTGATATGTACGCTTAGCAACCGGTCTTCGTGGATGGTTAAAGATGAATGGCCACTCCCCAGAAATGTGACTGCCAGCGGTGATACAACTACTTCCATTGATGCGCTGTTCAACCACTTCGGGTAACTGTTCGGTTGGAGTTACAACCGGCAGCGTGTCTGCTGGGTTCTTCAACAGTATCCTGTATTTTAACGGTATGAAGAGTTTGCTGAAACCTGCAACACTATGTGTTCGTCTCTCCGGAAGAGCTTGTGCGAGGTTGGGTTGCTACCGAGACGAGGTTTGTCATTCGCGTACCGTACGCCTATCATTTGATCACGCAGCAGGACTTCCACCCCCATATAAGGGTGCTGGAACAGAATCATCTATGATGTTAATGATCGTAAAGTTGAATTGGAACAGGATACAGGGTAACCCTGCCGCACCTTCGCATTATCCAGACGACAGCTTCTAGACCCACCTGGAATCAAAACTTGACTCACTCACTTCCCGTTTCCTTTGTGCCGGCCACTTGTTATGTCGCCTAACAATTTCAATTCCTACTCATTTTCTTGTTTGTTAGCTTAATTGGTATTTTTGCGATTTGTGTTAAAGAAGCTGCATTGGGCCGCACCTCTGTTCGCGGATCAATGTTGACACAATGGACTGAGCTGAACTCGGAATTCGCGTTAGCGAATTTTTTCCAGCACGTTATGCGAGCATATGCAGTACAAAAATACTGATGCCATCGATTTATGAGAGACGACTTTTTAGTAAAATTGACAGTGCCATTGTTACAAGTACCACGATAAGTCGACTACCTACATGTTGGCGTTTTTAGTTCTAAACTCGATTTCTAGCCGAAATCCCCTTTCTCTACTTTGTTCCAGATATTCAACGGACACCGAGGCAGATCGGTTCCGCACTCTCTTCTATCTTGGACGAATTCGCATTATCCTGGTCAGCGAGCGGTATTACTTCTTCAGGAGGTGAGTATTGACTTTATCTGGATACCTTAGAGCTTCTTACTAGTTCTTTCGACTACAGTCAACGGTATTTTATCGAGATCCGTACATTTCTTGCTCATTTCAGGCGCAAAATACGCGGTGCACAGAATTTAATTTTTTTCGGACCTCCTACTTTTCCGTGGTTTCTGAAAGAATTCATCGATTGCCGGCATAAAGCAAAAGAACTCCCCGACGAACCGCAGCCACTTCAATTGACTATCCTTTACTATCCCCCTTTTGAGGCACACGTTTTGTCAGCACTCACGGGCAGAGTTGACTTGTAGCCCCGGGAACCCTTGTGTACTCTACTGAATCGGAGCTTAGCTAAGGGGCAGACACATGTGTGTGTCTATCCCTAACAGCTGCATGTCAGCGGCATTACAAGCCCGCATCAGCATCTTTTGACTATGGCTATCATATTACATTTGCCTCCAACTGCTTTGTAATCAACCATGTAAATACAGATATCTTTGTAACCTTCCTTCTGCTCACTTGATGGTTCACCTTAGTTAAATATTTACGATCCGTACCCGGCTTTCCTTGCCCGGAAACTGGGTTGTGACTTTGCTCGACGGTTTTCCTTACTGTGTTCCCTAGGGTCCATGGTTGTATTTTCCAAATGTCTTATGAAATCGGTCAGTTGTTAAAAGTCGGACAGCCTCTGTTTTAGATACCTATTCATCGGAACTGGGAGTGACTTCTATTACTCTATCCTATTAATACTCATGTGCGATGGTTATTTTAATCTCAACTCCATCTACATAAAGCACTAGGATCATTACTTGTTTGCGCAGTGCAACTGAAGCCGAATACTTCCTGATCCATTAGGCGACAGCCATCCTGGACTCGCTTACCATTCGTTGCGATCGGGGGTGTAATACTATTAATGCTTGAAGCGCTGTTTTACAGTACACGTTGTATGACTGAATTGTGACCCGCAATCTCAATGTGAACCTTCATTTGCACTGCAGTGAACCCTGATCAATTCGACCACTAGGACTGTGGCTAAGGAAGCAGATGTAAATTAGGTGTTGCTCGCTCGAAAGCACCATACACTACGACGGGTTTCGACCTCCATCAGATGGAGATACGAGGCCTCGAACGCTGAACCGTTCGGATGTTAGTTGCAGCCTACGTCTCCTTAGTCACCGGGTCATGATGGGCAACTCTTGCAACCAATGCTAATGAATGTTTGGAGGCCCATGGGAAGTACTCGTGTTGTTGAACTGGGACGCAAAATCTGAATGGGTATTCTAGGGTTCGCAAGATATGCCTTTTTCGGCATGATCAAATTTTTACAATCGTTTCGTATACTATTTACAACATTTGCCAAACGTCAGGCAGAAGTAAAGATCCTGCTTGTCCAGTTTAAAGCTCCGAATGGGCCCAGGGTATTTCTTGGCGTTCTGACAGAGACCTCTGTGTTCAGGCGGAATGAAGTTTTTTTTCCTCGTGTAACATGTCCATTTATTGTCTATCCCAAGAAGCAACGTAAGCAGTGAGGAGTGAACAGCAATTGTGTGATGTATGCGAAACATTCAAACTGAAATCCAAACTCATAGAACGTAGCATCTGATTTGGGCTGAACATTTTCTTTCCATTGTGGCCTTCTAAATAGGAGTAGTGCAAGGCGGAGGTATCTATTTACTTTCAGTTCTGCCCATGTACATATAGGCCGAGGTAAAAGGAAGGGGACGCGGTTCGTTTGACTCTACCCTAGGCGCATGAGTCAGATTAAAAAATATTGGAAATCGGGATGAAGGTGTAGTAAGCAGAATCGGTTTGCTTCCGCTTGCCGCCTGACACGTTTGTATGAGGGCAACAAGGGAAACGCGGCTGAGTAGGAACAAGTGAATACTAAAAGTGAATGAAGATGGATAGATTCATTCAACTTTTCCTACCCAGGTCACGCGTTTTCGTATGCCTGTAAGGTAGACGCGGCTGAATATGCAGAATATGAAAATTTGTGATAAAATGGTTATCTCAATCTCGGTTTGCAATTCCTCTACAGCGCACACTTATTGCTGTGTCTGTGAGGTCTGCTTTCCCGAGTGAAGAACGAGAGTCGGATAAAGATGAGTGATGGGACTTCTGTGAACTTTTCATCTACTTTTCGACGCACTTCTACTGGAGGGCGTAGCCAAGTAAAAGCACTGTGCGTTGCACATTTTATGCATGTTTGCAATCAGCACACTTATGTCTTTGCCCCCTCAACAAATAGCATTTTGTCGTTGCAATTTTGTTGCAACATTGTCCTGTTAGGCGGCTAGCAACTTCTATTAAACACTGGTTTCGATTCGCATGTTCTTCTTTCATAGCGAAGCGATTCCCGATTGCAGTGCATTTGATTAAATAGAAGTTCCTTCGAACATTCGTTTTCGTTTGAAACCCTGAGAGTGCGTACTTCGTAGCCCTTATTACGTATCTACCTTGTTTGAAGTGAATACTGATATTTGATGCGAATACATCCTTATGGACCAATTCGAATAGCAATGTTAATCCCAGCTCGATGCGTCTTGCCCACAGTGGCTCTACCTGTAGCATCTTACAACGCTCGGAGTAGTTAGGTTTGAACGTGGGATTAAAGAGAACCTTCGTGAATAATCGCTGCACGCGGTCGTGTTTCCTGCCGCTTGTTAAAATAATCGAGCAGTAATCTAGCACATGGCGAATGCAAACTTCAAACAGATGCAGATTAGGTTTCTCACATCGAGAACGATTTTAAGGTGCGTTTTGCATTTCGTCATCTGGCCGTTATGAACGCAACTTACTCAACAAAATTCACAGTGCTAGAGTAACGGACGCTTAGATTATGTATAGTATTGTTACAGGATATAAGTTTGCCACCGAGGTGAAAACCATTTAGCGATAGTTCACGCATGCATGTCAACACAGCTTAGAAGGACATTGGCCAATCGTTGCATCAGGATTCCAAGGCCAGTAGGTCTATGCGAATGTTTTTCTAGAGTATGGCTCAAACACTAGATATCGGAGTTTTATACTATTTTTATCTCATCCGCAAAAATATACGAGGTCCCAAATTGTATTTTTCAGTTACACCACTGAGAAAGAGCAAGGAACTCAACACACTAACGAGTCACACTACTTTTGATCTTCAGTTATAAAGATTTGATCTAGAATATTTGTACCTGGCTTCGGAAAAATTCCCCGAAGATACTTGCCCGATATCACCGAGGTTTAATTCCCCCGATGCTGTGTTATCATTCATTGATAAACGGAACCTAGCCTTGACATATACTGAATTCAAGTCTGCTATGATTGGAGCTGATCGGACTCCACTGAAAACAGATGTTCAGAATAAAGTGAAAATTTTACCAGATGATGAAGTCTGGACTGTCGCCTTTGAAAACTGATGTTCGCAGTTAATATTACCCCGCTAATGTTGATCTCAATCTTACTGATGTATCGGATGCAGTATATGCCGCGGAGATACCTTATGCAACCAGTACAGCAGACATTATCTTCTTGTACTAAGATACGCTAATAGCTGTCTTGCATACTTCCTAATTAAATACCGAACCATCTACTTCAGGTATGATAAACCAGCTAACAGTCCGACCCAAAAGCTAAGAATTATCGAACCGTTGTTAAAAAGGGGATACGAGTGCCTTCCGAAGGAATATTGGTCCAAAAAACTCCTAGCTTTGTACAAAGTAGACGAGATTCTGCGATTACTTACAGCGAACCTGTTAAGCATGGTGCGTGACCCGATGGTTGAAGCAGAACACGCAGGCGTATTGTGGAACCGTTTACCGAAAGCTTCTTAAGTTACAGTGGCTGGACATATCAATCGGAAAACAATGAAATAAGGAAGGCAAAGGCAGGTCACTGTCAACCAATCAAGTTCGCACTTGTGTGCACCATCAATATTCAAGCGCAGGCGTGACATCCCTCTCTTCCCTAGTAAAGGCTGCAGACTCTGGCTTGATACCGATCAACTGGCTTAGGCTTGCATTTTAAACGTCTTGATTAAGGGTGTTCCGCATCCGTTTGCGATTCCTTATTTTGTGAGCTCCATTCTTCATCCCTTTTTGCGTCAATAGCAGTAGATTGTTGACCCCGCTCATGCGGTTCGATTGAGCATGTTCGGACATGCTCAAAGTGACGGCGCACCACACGGCCGTCCTGCAGCTGTAACTCCGCTTGAGTACTCGTTGAGGATATAAGCCTAGGAGGTTGCCAGCTTCCTTCGTCAGGCAGTCTTGTGTACACTGGATCAAAATCATTGGGACTTCCTCTGGCACCTTGGCATCCCTAAACATCTTCTCCTGCTTTGCCTCCATACTCCTTCGAGGGTTCGGAAATAGGGGGTGGCCGGCCGAACATCAACTCTGCAGGTGACTTCCCTGTCGACTCAGTCGCTGTATTGCGTTAAGAGACCAGGTCACGATCCAATTTTGCTCAAAGTTCCATGAATTTACTTGAGGAGACCTTGCTTAACAGCCTGAACTGCACGCTGTCATTCCATTCGATGCGAGATGGTATGGCGCAGACTTGATGTCCTGTATTCCACTGTTACTCAAGAATTGTCGGAACTGCACACCAGTAATTGGTGTCCGTTGTCGATGCACACCCTTTCTATGATACCGAAAGTGGCGAATATGTGGCGCATTTTGCAACAATTGCTGCGGACGTCGCGTGTGCGACTGCATGTACTTTTATCCATTTCGAGTAGGCATCAGTCAAAAGTAGTCACATCGTTCCATTGGTCCGGCCAAAGTAGTCCGCGTGTACCCGCTGTCAGGGCCCCTTCGGCCAACGCCATGGATCAATCGGTCTGGGCGCGAGCTCCGATATATCCAGCCGTCGTAGGGACTGGACTCATATTTCCGATAGGCGGATGGTTCCAGTTCGTCTGACTTGCTTGTACGCCATCCGATCATCAAGAACCGCTTCACCATCGACTACACAGAGTCCCGGTCCGTCAGGTGCTGCACCACCTCACTCCGGATGGGTGTCTTTTCAAGGTGTTGCATCGGATTGAAAAACTCCATGGGTTCGTTGTTCCTTTTTGTGCCATTCTGCTTCGGGAGGAGACTCAGTGCATCGGCAGTAGTATTACTACGTTCGTTTACCTAATGAAGTTTGTAGTTATAGACGCTCAAAAGTAGTGCCCACCTTTTGCATTCGAGGCGAAGACATTTGCTGGATTCCTTTCTCCTAACCCAAAAGCGAAAGAAATGGTCTATGGTCAGTGTGGATATGGAACTGTCTTCCCAAGACATACTGTTGGAAATACGTGGTTCCGAAAATAATCGCTAAG